ATTAATACGGGTCATAACCTCCTATCACTTCGTGATGTTTTGCTCAAAGATTGCAAATCGTAGAAGTTAGACTAAAATACCATTTATCTTAGTGCAGCTAACCGCTCGCCTTCTCTATCAGACCGTTATTACTTTTTCCTTATGTCTGCTTAATTGATAGGAGCGATTGAGATTCAAGTGACGTATTTAGCGTTACCTCGCCTGGGATAAGCGGAAAGTGTTCGGTACTCTACGTTGTCAACGATTGATGGTTTTGACTGTAGATGAGATCGTTTTGTCATTTGGAATGTGCAGTCATCAGTAAGCAGTTGCTCATTACTCCTTTCATCGTATATCTCAATCAAAGTTGCGAAGTAAGCTGTAAGAAACAGACACAATAATTTTTGTAAACTTGCTTATCATATAGAAGTATCAAGTTCTCTATATCTTACCATTTTCTTTCGTGTCATCTATAACAGCCATATCATTGCAATTGGCCCTAGAGCAAAATCTGGGCATGTCAGAACTTACAAACAACGCTGTAGAGACTCCGCCAACAGGACATTCGGCCCAGTTTGTGAGTGCTTGCTACAAGCAAATTTTGAAACAAACATCACATGCATTGTTCGAAAACAAAACCTTGTCTTCATCAGAGCATTCTCCAAAGATCGTTTTCAAAGTTTGTGTATTGATATAATCAGTCATATTACATGTGCTGTAAGTCTCACTTGTACATGTGTCTACGTTGAATTAAAAAATGTTTATTACCGTATCGAGGGACGCTGTTTCTTTGGCGCTCCTTTACCGGAAATTAGCGCCAAGTTCATGAAATCTGGCTCTCCATCATTTTTATGAGCTGACAGTTGCAGTAATTCTAAAGAAGGGTTCTTTAATCTGTCGTTTGGCTTAATTAGAACTTTAACGCGCTTTTTTAGAAGTAAAATATGGAGAAAGATACACTGACTTTATTTTTTCTCCGTTCGTCAGTAAAGGGCATCTCTTCTTTTATCTAACGGTCTTAATCAATATATTTTCATGTTTATATTTAGCGCTAATTTGTT